TTAAAACAATCTGCATATAAAAAAATTCAACCTTTCCAAATTCAACCTCAATATTTTCAGCCTCCTGAGATTCAACTGGCCCGCTTCTGCTGTCTTAAATTAAGCGTCTAAATTCAGTGTAAAAAGGGAAGGGTTACTTCAGGTCACAGACATTAGCAATGGATTGTGGCGTCCAACACCCAGCCAATCCCGTTACGTTTTCTTAGTCACGTGACGTGACGCTTGTGGCGCTCATACTGAAGAAAACCAAGCTAAGGCTAACTCAACTACAGAAAAATGATAATAATAAACTCACCGTTGAGTAATTATCTGACCTTTACTGTCTGCTTTAAGTTAAAAAATTAAAGTCTAAAACTTAGTAAAGTGCTTCTGTCACTAACAGACCTCAAATATTTTCTCCGATCTTTGTTTCCCCTTCCGCCTCATTTTTTTATTGCTAAAAATAACCCTGATTATTCATCTCATTTTAATGCCTAATCCTAAATTCCTCCAGTTTCCTACAGCTCCTCCTCCTGTGGCACCAAACCAGGCATTTATACGGACAGATGTCATTTTTCTGATGTTTCAAAATAACGTTTAGCTTCCCAGCTAGCTAATGCTAACGCCTGGTTCACATGGCCGTGTTCTAACCATTTTTAAACCCAGTTTTCTGCCTCTGACCGTCTTGAGGAAGCTCTGATTATACTGAAGCACGCTGCCTGCTGAATGCAACATTTAGCCGATCTAAAAGCGTTCCCAGAGGGGGGAAAAACACGACTCACCTTCATGTCATGGCGTAGCCAGTACAGGCCCTGCTTCCGCTCCTTTGACCAACGCCTTTGACTCTTTATAACCTTTTTTCTCCTTTAAAATACGTCTCCAGACTATGGCTGTTGCATCCTCCTCGTCTGACATCCTCATTTCATCTGAAAGGTTTGATCTCGACAGGTTTCGCGAGTTTTAAACCTGTCCGTTTGCGTTGGTTTCTTTATTCCACATGGCAGGACGCCACACAATGGGAGAGCACAGATGCTCTGCCCTTTAGAGGAAGTCCCGCCCTGCAGGTTGGAGACAAAAAAAAAAAAAAACAGGCTGTAGATTAAAAATCAGGTGGGAAAACATGTAAACTCCAATTATATAGGCTAGACTTTGGCATGGAGGTTGTAAATGAAATGAATCCCTAAACCTTTTTTTGTGATGGAGAAATTCCAGTTCTTGCATCTTTTTCTTTACGTGCTACGGAAACAGACTGACTCACCACGTCACACCTGTTCTAGGATTGGACGACTTATCTTGGAGCACAAACATAAATCCAGAGAATCGCTTCACATTGATTATAATTGCCTATTATTGCATTAAAGTCTCAGCTGTACTCGGAGGGTAACCCCCCCAATTGACCTTAGGTCTGAATTTTAAAGGATCCAGAGTGTTTAACCCATTTTTTTTTTTTTTT